CTTGTGAGGGTATCCTTACCTTTCAGTGTACTCGCCTTAGAACAATGGCCTCAAATTAAAAGCTGAAATCAATGGCCGCACATCGAGCCCCCCTTTTCGACCCCTTCATCACTTCTCCCCCTTCCCGATTTTCATTCAGTTTGTTCATCGCCTGCATTAAACATAATGCACGTAATTATTATCATTTCGCGGCAGCTTCTACATGCAGTCACACAATTTGGCTCTCAGCAACCAACCGAAATTCAGAAACCCCCGCTTTAGGTTGAAACTGCCAATTTATACAGCATTGTGAACTATTTATTAGCGCATAACTCTATAAATGAGCGGCGTTGGACTGGAGTTTATGAATTAAAGTGGACATCCCATGCATATATGCATATGTATATATACATATCCATTGATTTTGCCAATATAATTCGGGGCAAGTTAAGTCCGATAGCAGGGGCCAGTCGATCGGATCATTAGCTCTTTCGAGCCACAGAGTTGGAGATGTGTAATGATTATTTTCATAGATTTCTAATTTGTTGCCCAATTAGCGGCATTGAATTATACATTGAATGCGAGGCCATTAATCAATGCTCCGATACTTGGACGGAATGGCCATTGGTTCGAGCGATGTATTGGTTGATTGATTGAGGGCTTGCTTAATTTAATTACAGCCTTCACATTTTCAAAGTTGAGGTAAGTTCGCCTGAGTTGGCTATTTCCCTTTGTCGTGAGTGTTGCAGAATTTATGGCAAAATTGGGGATTAATTGTCTAATAACTGGCATTTCAAACTGCCTTAAACTTCACTTTTAATTGACTAGGCTTAAATAATATTGCCTTTTATTTGATGCGTCCATATTACAGTTTTGCCAGCGAATGCATATCTTATTTCTTGTTTTAATTTAAAAGGATTTATTTAAAACAATAATAACTTAAAGGAAAACTCGAATTGGCATATGTTAAACAATAATGGCTTGAAAAATACTTTTACATTATTTATTCACTATTTCATTGGTAGATATTAGGTATTAGTGTTGATATCTAAGTCATTAATTTTCCCATTAAGTTTAGTGCATTCCATTGGGCTTATTCCCCTTAGACTTTGCAATCACGCCAAATGTAAGATGCTCACCTGGCAAGAAGACAAAAACAAAACTAAAATAAAAAACCCATGGGCCCGGATAATCCAGCGCAGTGGATCTGGGTGCGGAATAGCTGCCTCGATTGCCGCTGTCCCCGGAGAAAATAAAGAAAGTCCCTAATCGCATTTGACTTTACCAATATCCCCAGCTGGCATGCGAGCTGCCTTGGCTCGTCCCACTTTTCCTTGGATTTTCCTCGGCTTTTTGTGTGCTGGTTGTGTTGTTGTTGTTGCGTTTGTTGTTCGGTTTGTACTGACAAATATGTGTAGCCGGCAGAATGCCAACAATATGCAGGTGCATATTGTAAAGGCAGATTGTGGTTTGTCGTTCCGAGTGCCTAACAAGTGCCAGCAAATGTACCGTGAAGAAACCATTTAGGATTAGTTTAATATGATACACAAAGTCGGGATTGAGAGCGGGGAAGCCGAAGGGGGAGGGGCTGCCTAGATAACGCTCCTGGAATAAGCAAACAGTACTTAAAACTGCCGGGCCAGGACTACTTAAGACGGCAAGAAGAAAGAGGAGTGTCCGGGGCGGAAAAGCAAAAAAAAAAAAATAGAAAAAATATGGAAGGAGGGAAAAGCCAGAAGCAAACGGACAGGGACTCTGGCAAAATATTGGTGAGATAAAGCCAAGGCTCAGCCCGAGCTGCACAAAGGAAAAAAATGACAAATTTGCAAATGTTAAGACGGAAAGAAAACATCAACATAAGTTATAGGCTTAGTGCGTAATCGTTTTTCGCAAAGGACCAACAAGGACTTGCCAAGGCGAGCCAGCCGAATGCCAAAAAACTTGGTGCTGCTCGGTGGTTGTTGGTTGCTGGTCGGTGGTTGGCAAGTGGCATGTGGCAACATGGGTAATGATGCCACCAGCGAACAAGCTGAGCGATATTTGCGGTTTAGCCGGCTGGGAAGTGCCCCACCTCCCTTCCCCGCAAGGAATCGGGGGTGGGGAACTTGAAAACTGGAGCAGAGCATTAAATATTCAAGTGATATGCGGTTCGATGAGGTCACCACCCAAGGTGCAGGATACTAGAAAGTAATTCAAAGGAGATGCGTGTTTGAATGGAAAATAATTCAAGGTAGGTAAGGAGCGATGGTAATATACATATAAAGTATATTAAAAAATATAAAAACAAAAATAAAAATTTATATTAAAATATATATATTAGCTCTTATGTGTAGGTATATATTTTATTTTTCATATCCAACTTCAACCAGTTAAAGTTTAATTAAAAAGGCTTTAAGATTTTAAAATTCTTTCAAAACTGTTATAAAATACCGAAAAATACTCCGTATTGTATATTTCAATTTAAATTCAAAAAAAACTTTTAGGTAAATAAATGACGGAATTTTACATTTTCATTTCCTAATTTTCTATGTTTTCGTTAATGTTCCTATCAAGATTCATGCTGTAAATCACGATTCTGCTGCACGTAATTGACAATCGAAAAAAGAGGCACTCCATCTATCTGCCCCAGATCGGCGACTTATCTGCTGCCCACGGAATACCGCCCGCCTCCATTAGACATTAGCCATGCGGATTTCCCTGGCTGTTCAAATTAAAAATTCATAAAAGCAGAAATGCGAAATTATGATGATAAAATAAACACAGAAAAGAAGCCGCAGACGAGACGTCGACCAGCGACAGGCCAAATAAGCGGAAAGATTCACTGAGACAAAGTAATGTTATAACACTAAAAAAAAAGAAGAAGATAAGTTGAAATATGCTAGAAACTTTATTTTATATAGTTTTTAACAAGCTGCAATTTACCTGTGATACAATCACAATTTTTAATAGGTCAGATATTTTTTTGACTTGTGATTTCAAAATAATAATTATAAACACAATAAAAATATTAAAAAAAATAAAATTTAATAAAAATTATGTAAAAAAAATTACCTAACTTTATTTAACCAATTTTATTTATTTCCTCGTATCAATCATGTCTGATCTTTTTATAATGTCTTTCGCGTTTTGATTTCTTTTTTATTTTTCTTTTTTTTTTACTGTGTACAAGTATACACGTTTCAGTTTATTTTTATTATATGAACCTTTGATTTGATATGCTCAAGGAAATATATATTTTTTTTTCAGATGGTTGTTTCCTTGAAGCGGGTTCCCCCCTATTTCTCTCCGTGGACTCCCAGAAAGAGGGTGTGGCGAGGCTCGTGGTGGGCGGAGGGCGGCGGCGGCCTGAACGTGACATTGGCCGGCTACTGTGAGAAAAACCCAGCCGCAGATTCGGACCCTGCTTCGGCGACTTGAGCGCTGATGATGTGGATAAAATAAACATGGGACATTGGTTTGGCCGCACAGTGGGTGGAAAGAGGGGGAGAAGGAGGAGAAGGTGGGAGAAGAAGGACGAGGGAGAAGAACGGAGGAGGAAAGCGTGTTTAAACATTAAAAGGACCATTAGATACGCCTTAAAGTATGCTTCAAGTAGATTATCTTCCATCAGTTTTGTTTGCTTACTTGGAATTGTTTCGCTTCATTTTTCTCGTTTGCAAACACACTCACACACACACACAGGCACACCAACACCCGCACACAAATAGATAGAGAGAGACGGACACAGACAAAGCCTGGTTTACTTAGCCTGTAAGTGTGTGGGTGCGCTTTCCTTTTGGCCAAGGAAAAGCATCTCATTCGACGGCGGAGAAAGCCAAAGCTGAGAACGAAGAAAAGTCCGAGACGAAGACGACGTTATTATAAATTGTGCGCGTGTCCTTGTAAAATAACATCTAGTGAACCCGAAAGGCACCCAGCGCCACCCTGAGCCACCCTGCACCACCCTGAACCACCCTGCACCACCCTGCACCACCCTGCACCACATTCTGGTCAAGTCGTGGCCCCGGCAATGCGTCTTAAATTACCAAGAAGTGCGCTCTGGGTGGCGCTTATTGCTTCTGCTCCTGCCTTTCGCTTTTGACCATGGCTAACAGCTAACGGCTCACAGCTAACGGCTCACGGCTCGTGGCTCATGACTGATGGTCGAGCCACCAAGTGGGTGGTGCAGGATGGCCGCCCGCCAGCCTTGACTCAATTTAAAGCCATCCTATTGCTCGTAAATTTCTATTTCCGTCCTTGGCTCGGAGATCGAGAGTTTTATCTTGGGGGAACATCGCGGACTTTCCACCTGGTGAAAGTTAAAGGCCTCCAAGGAACTGAATTGGTCGCTATAAAACAGAAGTAGTATTTCATCATGTCAGAGCAAAAGTACAGGCTGTCCAAAACCAGTTTAAAGGCAATTTCATTTTGCTGAGTATTATTTTATATGGAAAATAAAATTATAGCTACACTTATTTGTTTTGCAAAGTTATTGGTTTTATTTTTTTTATTTTTGTGCAATGTTGACAAATATGTATAATTTTTTAAGTACATAACAAGCATTTGAGATGCTTTATGACTAAGATTTCTTTTCGATTTTTTGCTTACAAAAAACGTTCTCTTAAATATTAAAATATTTCGTAAAATAGTCTCATAATTTTGTATCACCAAAGTCATTTTAATTGTCATTTTCCCAAAATGCTAAACCCCTACCAATTTAAACAAAAAATATTATCAAATGATTTTTTCTGGAGTTCTTGTTTTGCTGACATAACCAGTTTCTTTTTGTTTCGCTGAAAACACATCTAATAATATTATTATTTCAGTGAATTTCAGTGTATCATTTTTTGCCACAAGGACATGGCCAAAGGTGTTTGCACACGAATGTGTTTATTAATATGGATTATGGCTAATCGATATTGGAATCTGAGGACTATCAGCAATTATCAGGACTGTGTGCAATCACCAATTACTTAAATAGCACTTCGCAGACGTCCTGGCACTCAATGTCCGAATTCCAATTCTATTCCTGGCATTCAGTCATGCGGCTCGCAATCCTTTGGCTGTTTTCCGGCTGCCTTCTGCCAGGGATTTTGGTTCGGGGTCAGGAACAAAAACATGGAAAGGAGCTTCTCATCGCGCAGATGGGAAATCCAAAAGATGAGCACCACACCGGACTTCTGGCGAACGCCACTAGTTATCTGATAAACAGCTACATCGCCAGGAGGATCAACACGCTGGTAGTCCGCCAGGCCTGCGATGAGTGTCATTATGAGATGGTCCACCGGCAGCAACTGCTCATCGACCAGGTCCTGCAGAGCATCGCCCCCAATCTCAGTGTCCTGCTGCCCGAGGAGAAGCCGGAGCAGACCACCTGGGACTACACACTATTGGTGGTCAACAACCACACCGCCTTTGAGTAATTTGTCCTTTTCTCTTTATTTTTGGAATAATTTAATTCGATTTATTTACTAACATTTATTTAGCCTTAAAAAAATATTCTATTTATCTGTATTAATAGTTAAATTATAATTTAAAAATTAGGTTTGAATACATTTTAAATAGAATTTTATGTATTTGCTTTATGAGTTCTTGTGCTCTTCTTTTTTTAAGCATTCAAATTAGTAAATATTTAATAGATAGTCTATAAAGATATTAATGACTTAAGACTTAACCCTGAACTGATATTTTTACCATTATTCTTACTTTTAGAACCAAAATATTCATTCATTTCATTGTATTTCCCTTCTCTTTATTACCTCTGAAACTGGAACTCATAATCTTTGTGTATTTCCCAAAACTGTTTTGGCAGGGTTCAGTTCTTCTACTTCCCCGACGAGTGGATGGAGCGCGAGTTCTTCTGCATAGTTGTGGTGACCGAGCTGCAGAAGCCCGAGGCCGTGGAGGCGACCGTCAGGAAAGTTGTGAGCCTCAATCTTCGACTGGGATTCCTCAATGTGGTGGTGGTGGCCCAAATGGAGAACGGAACGGTGGCCACCTACGGCTACAAGCTCTTCAAGGCCAACTGCTCGCCGGGAATCAGGGTGCGGCAGATTGGCCACTTCGACGGGATGACCGGACAGCCGCTGGAGGAAATGACCGAGCTGTATCCCGTGCGACATGGCCACCTGGGCGACTGTGTGCTGAAGGTGGGTGCCAACCACCTGCCGCCGCACTTCATCTACAAGCGGAAGAAGAATCCCCTGCCCAGCAACGTGTCCATTCCCGCCGAGGATGTCGCTGGGATCGACTGGGATCTCCTCCAGCTGCTGGCCAAGGCCCTTCGCTTCAAGATCGAGCTCTACATGCCCCACGAACCCAGCCAGATCTTTGGGGAGGGCAACGTCTCCGGCTGCTTTGCGCAGGTGAGTTTAAAAAGCCTATAGAAAATCATTAACTAATTTAGAAGATACTTATTGAAACTGAAATGGAAGAATTCAAAGTTGATTTACCCACTTACTGAACTTAACTAGTTCAAACAAAAAACAATTTTAAATATTAAAGTATTAATAAAAAAATATTAATATTTTAACTTGTTTATATTTAAAATAACTATAACAATTTAAGAAATATGGCACATAAAACTAAAAGCCCAAAAATGATTTTGTTAAGCCTGTAAGCCTATAATTATATATTACTTATGATAAAAGACTTAATTTTATATGGTTAGATATAAATTATTTTTCAACATTTTTAATTGATAAAGATTTCAAATATTGCCAAACCCTTTTTATAAACCATAAAACGTCTTTAAAATTTGTTGATTTTGAGTACCTTTTTTATTTGTGGATATATGTAAGAAACATTATTCATTGGCAATATTTTTTAAAATGTTCTTTTTGCTTAGTCTACATTTAAAAATGTAATATTATCTAACAATAATCATTAGCTTGTTTTTTTATTGGAACCTTAACTGCGTTATTTTTGTTTCAGCTGGCGGATAATAGCGTTTCGATGGCCATCGGTGGCTTGAGTGGATCGGACAGGCGGCGGTGGCAGTTCTCGAAGTCGACGGTTTTCCACCAGAGCCACTTTGTGATGGTGGTCCGTAGGGATCGGTACTTGGGTCGCTTTGGGCCGTTGATCCTGCCCTTTCGGGGGAAAGTGTGGGGCGTTATCATCATTATCTTTCTGCTGGCGATACTTGTTACCTGTATTCTGAGATTTCGATTGGGATTGAGCCACTCACTGGAGAACATTGTCCTGGTGATTGTGGGCAATCCGGTTCCCACTCAAAGGATGCCCGGAACGGGTTTCCCTCGCTATCTGTTGGCCAGTTGGCTTTTACTCACTTTGGTGCTGAGGTGTGCCTACCAGGCTCGATTGTTTAATGTCCTTCGCCTTTCGCACCATCGTCCTCTGCCCGGGGATCTCAGTGGCCTAATCGCGGATAACTATACTTTGATATCTAATGGTTACCATGATTTCTATCCCCTGGAACTCACCCGTCGCCTTGGAGAGTCCTTTTCCGCTCGATTCGAACGGGTTCAGAGGTCACCTCCTGGCGAAAGGCTCACCACGATCTCGCTGGTGAGCAACCTGGCCTACTGGAACCACAAGCACAGGAACACCAGCACCCTGACCTTCATTCGCAAGCCGATCTACTCCTACCAGCTGGTCATCTACTTTCAGCGGAGGTCCTTCCTTCGCGCCCCCGTCAATCGCAAGATAAAGCAGCTCCTGAGTGCCGGGGTGATGGCCCACATCGAACGGAGGTATCTGCAGCACATGGACAAGTCGGAGGTGGCCGCCAACGATCCCGACCTCCTGCCCCAGATCACCATGAAGATAATGGACGGCGCCTGTCGGTTCTACGTTTGGGTGAATATCCTGGCCACCGGGATATTTATCCTGGAATTTATATCGGGACACTTGGGTGGCAGACTGCGCCGCTGGATGGAGCGGCTGCATTAGCTTTTACCAAAGGCTCTCTTTGATATTTTACATATTGTTGAACATATCTTAGGCTTAGAATGTATCAAAAGATTGTTTTTTTTTTGTCTAAATCAAAATAGTATCCCACATTAAAAAAAATAGATATGAAAGAAATAAAAAAAACTTCTTATAAAAAGATTTTAAAGGACTTGTTACCTTTGTTTGAATTTTAATTATACATATAAATATACAAATATACACAAAGCCCTTTTTTTAGTTTACGTACCAAAAGGTCATTTAAAAAAGACTCAACCTTGAAATAAAAAAAAAATTAAATTGTAAACCACTTTTAATTATAATTATTTAATGTACAAAAATAATTTATAAAAAAAGTTTCTTTCATAATCAAAACAAAACTGTTGTTTTTAATTGGATTGAACTACTTTTATTTGAAGGAAAAAAGAAATTGAGTATACTACAGTTCCTGCCAGTTAAAAAAGTTAAGTCAGTAATATTTCAAGCCCATTTCAAATAAAAAAAACATGAGGAAAAATAGTTTATATATTCTATCATTTTTAAGCTCTAATTTCGACTCGATTGCTAAACTAATTAGATTTAAACTTCACCCTGCTTACAACAAAGCATTTGAATTAAACCAAAGTCAAGTCTAGACAATTCATTAATGGCGCGACCAACTAGCTAATTAGAAGCGGAGTGGATTCCGCTGTTAATCGAGGCCCTTGGAGCATCGCGAATCGGCCAGATGCCATTCAGTATCTTTCGCCGATGGAGGGGCCAAAGTGGTAGAAGTGTAAGCCAGACACGATGCACTTAGATGGATTTTTGTGCGGTGGCCGGCTGGCCTTAAAAATTGATTCAAGACTTGTAATGCAGTGCGGATGGTGGTTCCTTCTGTTTTTCAGCCTGTTTTTCTTGTTTTTTTGTTGTTGTTTCTGCCCGCTCCTCCCACTCTGCACCACTCTGCCGGGCACTCGGCACCACTCTGCACCACTTTTGGCCATGTGTGAGCAGCGGCAACTGGCCAACTGGCCGAGCGGCACGGAGCGGCACTTGAGTTAAGCTGTGCAAACGTTTGCATAATCACGTTCCAATTTAAATTGCTCTATTTGTCGGACTGCCACTGTACCACCATTCACCACCCATCTACCGCCCACCGCCCACAATTCGCTCAAAAAGTGGGCGTGACCATCGTTGTCGCCTCTCGAATTGGAAAAACCGAGCCACTTTTATTAGCCGAGGGGGAGGGCCTGCTTGCCACATGCCACATGCCACACGCCCAATCTGTTTGCAGAGACTACAGAAAAATGGGATTCCGATTCTGATTTTACTTGCCATCGCCATCCATCTGTGTGTCCACTCTTCAAATCACTGTTTCCCACTTTCCCGCTTTCCCACTTTCCCGCTTTCCCACTTTCCTGCTTTCCCAGCTTTCCAGTTCCCCCCCAGTGCGTAAACAAAAGGCAACAGTTGATGGTTTCGAGTTGCGAAGAAAAGCCCATCTCTTCGATTTGCATAGCATGCGTTTGGCCAAAAGGGAAACTTTTCCACGGGATTAATTCGAGGTGACGACGTTGAGGTGGGTGGAAAGTAAAGCGGAAATATCTCTAGAGAAGAAATGAAGATAAATCACTAGTTATTATATGCTCAAATTTGAGTAAGTTAGTTTTCTAGATACAACCACCTTTAGTTATCACATTTATTTTATAACAAAATAACTCTAAAAATGTTTGTTTTTCCTTTAAAACCATTTATACATACATATATTCCAATACCGATTAAAATTGCCCTTAACTTTGATTTAATATTGATAGATTTTAAAAGGACTACATTTGCTTTAAAAAATTAGACAATACTATATGTTTATTTAGCCTATGTTACTTCTCAGTTGAAATGGAGAAATCAATAATTTGGATTAACTAAGAATTTACATATTTTATCTGAAGCTAGACAACCTATTCAAGGACTTGATTTTCATGGCCAGTAGTTGCACTTTTCGTCCTTGAGGATCGGCTCCCCGCTGCGTCCCTCGTCCTCCTCCGCCTTCGGGGGAAAACCCTCTTTCCGATTCCGGGATTTATCTGGGTGTTGTGGAACTTCATCATCAGCATGTCCCAGTCGTAAATGAGTCCCGGCCGAAGGTTCAAGCCGTTCCGCAGCATCCTGAACATCCTGCAGATGGTGTCGTACTTGGGCTTCTCGTAGAAGCCCATTCCGCGGCAGTAGTTCAAGTACATGGTGAACTCGCAGGGGAATCCTTCGCACAGGACCTCGATGCTCACCGAGATCTTCTTCTCGTGGATGCGCTCGTACTTCTGCTGCTTCGTAGAGGCCTTCAGATCCTGCCACGGCAGTGAGCCCCTGTTGAAGTACATGAGGACATAGCCCACGGCCACCATGTCGTCCCTGCGAGAGGACTCCACTCCGGCATGAACGCAAATGGAGGCATAACGAGCGGTTCCCGTCAAAGGACGCTCCTCGCGATACGGGATGTGCACATTGGTCGTTATGTCCATGAACTTCTTGGCCAGGCCGAAGTCAATGAGGTACACCTGCTTGGACATGGTGCCCAGGCCCATGAGGAAGTTGTCCGGCTTGATGTCCCGGTGGAGGAATCCCCTCCCATGAACGTACTCCACGCGGCGCAACATCTGCTCCGCCAGCAGGAGAACCGTCTTGATGGTGAAGGCCCGTTCGCAGAACTGGAAGAGCCTCTCGAGCGAAGGGCCCAGCAGGTCCATCACCATCGCCTGGTAGTGCTGCTCCTTGTGGAAGTACCTGATCCTCGGCAATCCAGGCGCGGGCCTCAGTGCTCTGTACAATCGCCTTTCGTAATTCAACTGCGGATGCCGCACCTTGGAGCTCTCCACCTTGATGGCCACCCGCTCCCCGCTGTGGATGTAGATGCCCAGGTAAATGTCGCCGAAAGACCCGCAGCCGATCTTCCGGATCACCTTGTAGTTCCCTATCCGCACTTCGCGGCTGTGGCTGCTTCGCAGTCGCTCCATCGTCCCGCTTCCACTTTTTTTCGAGAATCAACTGATTAAATTTGGGTTTGAAAAAATAAAAAAAAGTCAGAACATTAAAATGCGCCTGCCAAATATATATAGATAAATAATTCGTGGGGTTCTGAGATCGTTATGCATAAATTTTGAAAAGCAAATACAATACAAAAAGAAATTGTTTTTAAGTACAAATAAATAAATTTATGTTTGGATGTACAGATTTAAAAATGTTAGGAATATATCTTCTTACGTCTTCTCCTGTAAAACGTTGAGTTAAAGGGTATTCCGTATTTGATAGATATATAAATATTTACACATAAGTCCACACTTTTTAAAACTATTTAATGTATGGGCATATAGTTTGTTTCGACTTTAAACTTTTATCACAAACAGAACAAAACTCAACTGTAAGTTAGTACCTTACAATTTAAAGTTTAACAGTTATCAAATATTTATTTGTTGCTTGCACTTCGTAGTCTTTAACTAATTATTCAATATCAGCTTGATTTCTCCAGTATTATCCAAATCAATACAGTGTGTCATCAAAAGTAATAACATCTTCTTAAATGAAAACGAAGGTAATTTGCACACTCCTTGATTCCTATGAATCAACAGTGTTCTTATCCTTCGGCTAGCAGCCAGTGTTTATTTTAAACTCCAGGATGGGCGCAAATGTCTGAAGAGGCGCCTAGTGCGATATTAAGTATACGCCACGTTGATCGCAGCACTTTAACTGCGATTGGACCGAATTCCTGGCTCCGGCTGAACCCAATCCTTTAAGAGACCCCGTAATGTGCCATCCTGTTCGGGACTCTCTCTGTTTGTGTGTGTGTGTTTGTTTGTGTGTGTGTCTGTGTACTTGTGCGTATCGATTATCCTGGCAGACGGCGGCATCCGTAGACGGAGACACAAATGCACAAATGAGGAGGCAAACAGGAGGGATTGGAGTGGAGTGGAGTGGAGGCGAAATGGAGGCGACGAGGACGGATCAACTAGCCAGTAATAATGTCTTTCGTCGACATTTGACATTTTGGCTATATATCACTCACATTGTGACAACTGGCAACTTGGCATTCAAATATAGCAGGAGCACCAGGAGCCGGGCTCTCAGATGTTTAAGAACAATAAATTTGTGGGCCTTCGGCCTGTGCGTGTGTTCATCCCCCGCGTCTGTTTTCCCCTCTCCTCACCCCCCTTGTATCACCATGTCGGCCATATCACCCATATCCCCCGATATCCCCCGCCGAATCGGCCCACATTTATCCCCTGGCAAATGTTTGGCAGCAGAAGCCTTACTGCCTGCCTGCAAACCCAATGACAAGACGGAAGCGACATATTTGAACTGGAATGAAGCGGATTGAGGCTGCAGCCGTTGCCCATTATCATCATCAGTGCAGAGAAAAAAATACCTACTTTATAAATAAGTATATTAATTTCTGTTTTTCTGTGACAATGCGAATATTAATATTTAAAACTTTGGTTTGGTTTTGGACCTTTATAACAATACCCATGTGTTTATCAGATTTTTTTAAAGCTAAACTGCAGTGTTATTAGACATTTCCCAAGGCAGTTATACAATTTTAAATAGAATATCTAAAATGTGCAGATGTGAATAAACCGTTTTAATTTTAAACAACATTGATAAGGATTTCGTCCAAGGTGCAAATTAAAAGTTTAAAAACATACGTTATTAGTTATTGAAACTTTGCTTGCAGAACAGTTCTTTATAATGGTAAATCTGTAATTCCTGCTTTAGTTTTTTTCTCAGTGCACTTGGAGCAGCTAAAGGAGGAGCGTTTACATCATAACATGGCCGTCTGATGGATAGACAGATAGCCGGGCATTAGCATTAGTGGCCGCCACAATAGGTCTGCCGAAGATGATGACGATGATGATGATGGCGATGATGAAGATGTTGAAGATGATGAAGGTAGTGATGGTGACGGCTTCCGATGATGATTCCACTGATGAAGATGATTACGATGAAGCCCAACTCGACGAGAATGGGCCCAAGAGCTTCTGTTCCCGGCTCTGGCTTGGATTCTGGTTGAGATTCTGATTCAGTAAGCGATTCGCAATCCGACTCCGATTCAGATCCGGACTCCAAGCTAGACACTTCGTCTGGGGCGTGCGGCTTTCGGTGGGCGTGGCCACCGTTGATGGTGAAACATGCGGGTAAATTATCTTTTCATTTCCATCAACGTCGTCGTTGTCGTTGTCGTTGTGACTGTCTGTCTGTGTGAGGTTGTTGCTTTTGTTGTTGCTGTCGTGGAAATTGCCACTTCCACATCCTCCCAGCCACTCCCCCTTTCTGCTTGGCCCCCAAGCCGCCCATCCAACCATTCGGGTATCTTTCCACCTGCAACGTGGAGTTACAACGGCAACATCCGGGAATTTGGGGGCCCGCAAATCGCCATTCGATTGTTTGGCTTGTTGTGTTCGTTTTGCCACGCCTACTCTGCCGCCTTCAAAGTTTTGGGGCCTCATTAAGGTGGAATTGGAGGCCATTAAAGAGTTGGCAACTCACTTGTCGGCCGTTAATTGTTTTCTCTAAATTAAATTGGAGAACTAAACATAAATCTAGTTCGAATTTTGTGTTTTTGGATAGAGCCATGCTACACGTTTACAGAAATTGGACTCCAGAACTAAACAAAAACTTAAAGAGCTACATTTTTGGATTTGAAAACTGCTGACTGCTGACTGACAATCACATTGAAAGTAAAATGATATATTTTATTTGCCAAAAAAATTCCCAAGCGTTTGAACCTTAAAAATTTAAACCTGTCGCTCAAAAAACGTAATCTTAAGCTGGTTCCGTTTTTAGCCGAAAAATTACAAGTATTGATGGTATAGATTGTCAGCTGTACAAGACAGCTAGTTTTTTCAAAGCCATGAAACCCAATTATTGCAACCTACAAAGAAAAATTTTCCAGAAAACGTGTCATTTGATTTCTAAAAATCATTCCGATGATTCACGAAAAGTTTTGAGTTTCTACCAAAAAAAATCGTAGATTTGACAGAAAAATACAAAAGGAATGGTCGAAATGTGAAAGACAATCCTCGTTATTTTTGACAAAAAGTTCCCAACAATGGAATCCAATCAAATTCGAGAAAAGTAGTAAAAAAAATAATATAACAAAATCAAAGTCGTCGTAATCGATACCCGATAGCAAGAAATCGCATATGTGATTACGTTATCTACTCTTATAAAAACACCATTCACCTCCTTTTCGCACGATATTTACCTTCTTCACGATGTAAGTTTCCCTAATTAATTTAAAGTGTTTGTAGTTAAAAACAATTGCTTGGATTACTCGCAGAATCCATTGGACCAGGTCCAGTTTAATTTCCACCGCTTTTCCCCGCTTTTCCCGGGTTTTCCCGCCGCTGAACCATAACTTTGCCGGGTGCAAATGAGTATTAATGAATATGAAACTTATCCTGCCGCTGAACGAACTAACTTGCCAACGTGTCGGGAACAAACGTGACAAAAGTTTATGGAGCACCGGCAATTGCACAGTCATAGAAAGAGAAACAGAAAGAGAGACAAACAGCACCGGTGCGAAAGAGATGGCTGATGCGGGAGTGAAAGAGACGGGGAGAGGAGTGCGCTTTGATGGCGCTGAAGTTGGACGAACAACAAACAGCAAAATATAAATGACTTTAATAGCTCATCAATGATTCAGGCGGAAATCCGTTCTGTCCAAGTGCAGTCGGTTTATTGGATACCGGAAAGGCATTATGTTGCCCTCCCTCTCCCTCTCCCTCTCCCTCTCCCTCTCCCTCTCCCTCTCCCTCTCCCTCTCCCTCTCCCTCTCCCTCTCCCTCTCCCTCTCCCTCTCCCTCTCCATCTGCCTCTTTCTTTCTCTTTCCCTCTCTTTCGCACTGCTTTTCCATCTCTTTCCCGCTCTGTTTGTGTGCTTGTTTGATTGTGCCGACTGGAGTAGTCTGTCTGACTTTCTGGTCTGGGGTTTTCAAATCGAAATCGGGGTTTGGGGCCTTCCGTCTGCTTAGCTGCAATGATTTCCACGCTGCCTCCGAAAAGTATGCAACAAAATTTGCATATTGTTTTGCTCCTGCATGTTGCCCCCTGCAATTTGTCCCGCTCCCTGTTTTCAACACCCCATCCAACTCGTCATGTGCCGTTGCACTTGGAAAAAATAGGAATGGGCTTCATAAAATGGTTGTTATTTTGAAACCACCTAAAAAGGTGTCTAAAAGTATGCTTTAAAACTTAGATCATTGTATTTTTTCATATTTTTTAGCTCGGAAAATATCTTGGTAAACAAATTGAAAGGATTATAAGACTTTTTATCCATACTTAAAAATAAACGTTTAAGCGGAATCACAATTTTAGAGGTCAGGACATTGTTGAAGTGGTTTCAACTGAGAGTATCAATTAGATAGCAAATCAATTTGAATGGAATGGAATGCAAATGCAGTTAGCGGCTATTGAAAGTTTATTTTTCTTCTCTTTTTCACTTTATTGCCTTGTTAATTTCATCTGTTAACATTATATATTTTTTATAGAACAAATTTAAAAGCCATTTCGCACAGTGCCTGTTTGGCATATGCACCCCATTTGCATTTGTGTCCAAGTCAACTCTCACCTCAATTGCCTCCCCATTTTACACCTGTCCGGCGAGTGTGTGCGGTGTGTGCTTTTGCATCATTATTATGATCATTATAGATGGCACATGGCCAGTTTCCCCATTGGCCATGTGACAGTAGTAGCCGCTTGGCTTTTGTGTCTCATTTATTATGCAAATCCGAGCCAGGGGTCGAAAGTGAGGCGTGTGGCAGGCGTGGGGTTAAGTCCGGATGACGGGTGGTCAACAAAAGGGGGGAGATGAGGGGACAGGAGGCAGATAGCATCCTTTATTCCTTGGCCGATTGTCCGATGCACCACCGGTGGTCAATGAGTTCAAGTTTTGCAACAATTATGCCGCAATAATCATCGATGTGTTGCAGTCTTGACCAAACTATATGTATATGCACTCTGGCATTTGCGCAGAAACAATAATGCTTATCGCATATTAATGAAACGACAGCAAATATTACAAATCAACGCAATTGGAAAATTTATTCAGCTCCC